AGGACACACCAGCCCTACTGACTGGAAATGCCAATTCTCACAAGGTGAAGATTAGCAAGGTTCCATCCACAACAGGGGAGGGCAAAATTACAAAGGCACCACTTGCATCCACTAGCAAGCCTGGCAACACAAAAAAGGCTGTCCAGGTACCGACGAAGCCTAATGTTGCTAATGATGCAAAGGACTGCAAGAAGCCGAAGGCAAAACCTAAGTCTGAGGGTAGTCGGTCTAACTCTCTCATCCTCTTTAACGTACCTGTGAGCACGGATAGCTTGCTCGAACAACGGGCCCTGTTTGATCAGGAACAGTGGTCCAACCTGTGCAGCAAACTAGGTCTGAACATTAGTTCAGCAAAACTGTGCAGACTGTACAGGGGTGTCCACACGCCTCAGGGTAAGCCACCCCCATTACGGGTTACACTGGACTCTGCCGAAGAGGCCGAAAAAGTACTGTTAATGGCTCAGGTACTAGCCCTGGACAGAAGTTCTAACATAAGAGCGCGGCAAGATAGACCATGGGCCGTCAGAAATATGGCGAGGGAGTCACCGGAACTGATGCCTTCCACCTCTATGGTGGTACACGGTGTTCCGGAGCTGGAAACCGGCACTGCTTGTGAAAAACACATGCACGACGTACAACAATGGAGATGGCTGTCATCTCAGATGGCCCCTGGCGCTTCTGGAGCCATCTCCATTTTCCGACTACCTCGTCCCGCTCATCTAACATTGATTAACTCTCCAAAGCTGCTGTGTGTCACATTCAACTCCCCGGAGCAGTTGTCCATATCACTTCAACGGTGGTATGAGACCAAGGGAAAAATTGGAGGACACATCCGATGCTGTGAAAGCAGACCCAGAAATATAAGGAGGCAGCAAACTGAGGCTTTAATACGACCCCAAGCTTCGGTGACACTAGAGCGATGCAGCTCTGAGAATAATAGTCTGTGTCTCCCAAGTGTCCTGCCTAAATCCATTGAAAAAAACTACAACGGGCCGGTTCTATCGGAATCGGCCAACTAGTTCCAACATCAAGTCCCCCACCAGCAGACGGTTTCACGTCAACTACCCCACAACACTCTGAGGTTGTTAGACTCACTGTCAGTTGCCTATATAGCAATGTGAGGGGGCTGAGAGGGAAAGTAGGTGAACTCGAAATCTCCAAGCACACCTTCAACTGAAAATAATCATTCTTACTGAAACGTGGCTAAACCCCACTATCGCCGACAATGAAATCAGTATAGGTGATATGGTACTGGTCAGGAGAGACAGGGATAATAAGGAAGGAGGGGGAGTTGCTATATACTTTGATAGGCAACTTAAATGTGTGCGCGCAACGGACCCACCACTTATCGAACTCCCAGACTCCATATGGTGTCATTTCACCGTAGGCCACACCAAGCACTTACTGGGTGGCATCTACCGATCTCCCACCTGTGGGGCAGAGCACAATCAGCTACTGCTCAGCACTATCACAGGAATACGAGATTTGGGCTACGACCAAATCACCATAGCTGGAGATTTCAATGCTCCATCACTGAACCTCGGCTCCGGGTGTGCTAAGGGAAAATTTGGCCGAAACCTACTGCAAACTATTCGAAACACGGGACTGACTGAGAATGTTGGAGACGACACTAGGTGGGGCCCTAGTGGAAAGTCATCAAAACTAGATTATATTCTAACTAGTGACCAGCTACTCGTCGAAAAGGTCCAGATCATGACTCCTCTGGGAAGCAGTGACCATGCAGTCATAGGTTTCGATCTTGTCCTCCGTGAGCGTTTGCAATGGGATGTTACGCGACCATGTCTGTGCTACAGCAAGGCTGACTATGCTGAAATGCGGAGGCTCTTGTCCGACGCAGACTGGCCCTTAGCATGGGACGACCTATCTGTGGATGAACACTGGGAAGTGGTAAAAAAGATTATCCATGCAGCAATCTCGGATACCGTCCCTTTAGTCACAACACAGCCTAAGAGAAAGACGTCATGGTTGAAGAGAGGCACGCAACGTATTCTGCAAGCAAAGCGGAAGGCTTGGTTTACGTGGCGTGTATCTAAGAGTCAGACCGACCATGATGCATACCTCGAACTCAGGAACCGGTGTAATGCAAGAGTTAGGAGGGACAGAAGGTCATTCCAGGCTAACCTTGCTAAAAAACTCCTATCAAACCCTAAAAACTTGTACCGATTCATGTCGGAAAGAAAACCGACAAACCAAGGGGCATGCGCCTTAGTAGGCCCAAACGGTCAATATCTCACTAGTCTGGAGATGGCTGAAACATTCAGTTCAGCCTTCGCTAAACAGCTAAACAGCAATGTGGATATTACAGTTACGGACCAAAATGGTGGCACCACTATTTCAGAGGAGGAAGACCTAGCGACTACTCCCCAAATAAACCCCGCAATAGTACTAAGGAAGCTACAGCGACTCATACCTGGGAAGTCCCCAGGTTGTGATGACATCAGGCCATCTGTTCTGAAACAGTGCGCCGAGGCTCTCTGTAGACCCCTGTGCGACTTGTTCCAACACTCAATGGATTCGGGGACCCTGCCAAGGGAGTGGAAAAGAGCCATCCTTTCTCCAATCTTCAAGGGTGGGGACAGGCAAAACGCTGCTAGCTATAGACCAGTAGCTCTACTCCCAGTGGTATCAAAAGTACTGGAAAGTATTATTGACGACCACATCAGGGAATATTTCGATAGGACTAATATACTGCATGAAGCCCAACATGGTTTCAGAAAAGGCAGATCCTGCGTCACTAACCTACTGTCAGCTTGGGACGACTGGACATCATGCTGGGACTTGAACGTACCAGTCCATGTGGTCTTCCTAGACTTTGAGAAGGCATTTGACACTGTTCACCATGACCTTCTCCTACATAAAATAAGACAGGCAGGCATAGGTGAGCCACTTCTGTCATGGTTGAAGGACTACCTAGCCGACAGGCAATTTTGCACTAAGGTTAACCGAGTCCGATCATCTTGGCACAGATCGTCATCAGGAGTGTCGCAGGGTTCTATCCTAGGACCACTGATGTTTTTGATTTTCATCAATGATCTACCACGCCGTCTGAGCTGCCCGACTCTCCTGTACGCTGACGACGTAAAAATATGGAGGGCGATAAAGTGTCCGGAGGACTCAGATAGGCTACAGGAAGACCTAAACCTTCTGGAAGACTGGGCGGTGGCCAGTGGCATGACTTTCAACTTGAAAAAGTGCAAAGTAGTGAAGTTGCGCACCTGTAGACTGCAGAATGCAAGTTACACCCTGTGCAATGAAAGCTTGTCCTGCACAACGTCGGAACGCGACTTAGGTCTAGTTCTAACGGAAAAAATGGACACAAGCGTAAATTACACAGGGGATGTAGCGAGGGCATATGCGGTCATACACTTTACGCATAGACAGTTAGGTGCACTCACTCCTGAGCTCTTTCTAATGTTGTACAAAACATACGTCAGGCCACACCTTGAGGTGCATAATATTATTGCACCCCCAATGCTGAGAAGAGATGCCAACCTCTTGGAAAGAGTCCAACGACGGGCAACAAAAGGAGTGGTTGGTCTCCGAAACAAACCATATGATGAAAGGCTGAAGAAATTAGGCCTGTTCACACTTAGTTACCGTCGGCTTAGGGGGGATTTGATTACTGCCTACAAAATAACAAATGACCAGAATCACCCAAACAAAGGTGTTCTGCCATTGAGTAGGTATAGGCTTCCACGTGGAAATCCCAGAAGGATAGCTCACCAGAGGGCAAGGACCCGGGTGCGCTCCCACTTCTTTTCACTGCGGGTTTGTCGTCCCTGGAATTCCTTACCGGCAGATGTAGCTATGGCACCGTCTTTGGACGCCTTTAAGCGAAGGCTGGACAACCATGCAGCGATACAAGGACTGCATCCAAATGGCCTATCTCCTTAAAATCGCATTTACCAATCAGGGTAGATAATTAAACTCGTCATTTTACTTCTTTACATTCTCTCCCGTCTTACTCTCCTGACAACTTATTAATATTATAATTACTATTATTATTATTACTATTACCGATATATATATTATTCTTCAAACTTCATGAGCTGACTGTTGTTACGTTTCCTATTTTCGTTTCTGTCTCTTAGTCTGAATAGCTTCACTAATTATATCTATTATTATTATTACTATTATTATTATTATTACTATCTCTTTTCTCTTGTCGACAATACCGAAGGACTAACTGGCGAAAGGATCAACTCCAATCACAGTAGTAACAGTCTTAACATACCTCATACTACAAACCACATATAATTAATCCCAGCACTACTCCCTTTGGAGTCAACCAAAGCTACGACAGTCGAGTGGCGGGACAAGCTACGCAGAAGTTTACCGAAGATCAAGAACCTATACCTCACAATCAAGAGGCGAGCACAAAGAAATCAAATTGGTTTATACTAGCTCGTAAAAACGATATTGGATATTGGATCTGTTCAGCTGCAGGAATGCGCTATTGTTAGCTGCTAGTAATTGCGGGACAAAAACGAGGTGAACAATTAAAAGGGACGATATTCTGTTATTGATCAGTAGAACTAAGATACTGAGATGAGAGTCACTAGCTGGATAAGTGTTTAGTGGATCTGTCACATATAAATTGCTAGTCAATTGGTTACACCGCGGTTGTATGCCTGATAATGCCGTTGAACTGTCAGTTTTACGAGGCGATTTGAAAAATTTGCCTTTTGAAGTAGTGACCAAAGGTGTGAAGTTGCCTACTTTCAAAAGAAACATAATAACCACGAAATTTTCAGCCATAAATAGATAATGACACGTTGAGCAGCTCGGGATCTAGTGTTAAAAAAATATCACAACTCCATAATACGATTTGGCTGTGTACTTTCCTAATTCGTCAGGAATCGGAGAAACAAACACAGGATTAGCCGTTAATACTGGGTGAAACTTTTTTGGCAGATAGTAGCAGTTTGTTTCAGTTACTTCGTTCAGGCGCCATTAGGAAAGTTTGCGCTAGTTTTGAGATGGCCTGTCCACTGATTATCAATAAGAATTCTGTTAAGTCTTTGACTGCTTGGTGGCTTTCCAACGAATCGTCTTTAAATTATGTGGGACTCACCCCAAAGAGTGGGCGTGGAAAGGTATACATTGATATGCACAGTCCAGGTAAGCGTTGAAGTTACTGAATTCACATATTAGGTATAATTGTTGGAATGCCATTTGTGGATGCTATTTTGAAAGAGAGTAGTTGTGAAATTGAGTGGCATGTGTGCGAAGGTCAAGTAGTGAAAACATGCCCAACAAGGGTGGCTACGGTTACTGGAGCGAACGAAGATATATTCTTTTGCGAAAACCTAGTGCTCTCAGTTCTGTCCAGAGCCAGTGGCATAGCATCTCTGGCAAGCAGGTAATCTGATTTCCAATGATATTGAGGTATTTAGAATCCAGTCAGTTTTACATGAGATTTCATGGCCTGGGACCATGTATATGCCTGACAGGAGGACTCCAGGCTTTGGTCTCGTTGAGGAGTATGCGATGATGACGTCAGGAGTTTCGGAAAGAAGACCATCTGTTAGTGTTCGGTGTCAAGACACGAGTTCTGAAAACCTTAAAACAGTCAGTTGTTGTAGTATTGCTAACCTGTCTTAGGCTATAGACAAAGTTCGTTCCAGAGTTGGTTCCATTCCAGTTCATGTAGCTTGTTCCAAACTGAATGAAGCTCTTTTGGCCGCTGGAGCTGGAGCAGATATTTTGCTTACTGGTTTAGATGATAAGGTTCTATTTTATTTCTGACTAATTGGTTGTTAGGAAGTTTTAGAGATCGCGACGCAAGTGAAGGGGAAATATCCTAAGGTTCAGGTAATAGTGAGTGGTGTTTTCGACGAATCGGATATCAGATTGTGTGCATCGCGCCACGTGGATCTTTTGACTTCCTTAAAACTGTGCAACGGATATACCTGCATTGACTTCCAGATGACATACGTGGAGGGTACACCAACTAAGGAAATACATCCGGGAGACTGTGCAGTTCTGCCAGATGAAACTGAATCGCCTAGTAAGTCGGCGTAGTATTGATAACAGTAGTCCAGTTAGTGAAGATGTCTGAAGACGGACCTTGGGTAAATTTTGCACTAATGCAGTGTACGCCTGTCAGTCACTAAACTTATACAGACAGTTAATTAAACAGTTTTATTAACCTTGAGGAGGTAACTGACTGTTCATTATAAATTATTTAAATTAATCCCAGCGTGTTAAGAAAATCAAAACAAGATTTCTTAACATGCTGGGATTAATTTAAAAGTTTATGATGAATCAATCTGACTCGGCGCTCAAATTATTCCAGGAAGTTCGTAACACCTACGGTCTGGAAACTTGTAACTGACTGTAGTTGGAAATCTATGATAAAATCAGTGATAATTAAGTTAATCTTTTAAAACGTCTAGTACGCAATAATAGTGAGCCAAATGAAATAACAGACTCGCGCGCACATGCCAGATAAAATTACATGTATTTTCAGTGAAAACAAGTGTTAGAAGTATGATTATTAAATATCCGTCATCAAAGTTTAGTGCTTGGTGTTTATTTACATATAGAAGGTACATTTTGTCCCATGTAGCTAAGATCATTCTTGACACTGGTGGAAATTTCATGTAACCCGTTTTTTATTTGTAGCATGGTAGTATTTTACTAAACTAAAGGCTGCGAATGGAAAGATTTTTTCCCCTTGCAAATAAAGCACTATGGTTTTGATTTTTGTTTACTAGTCAGTTCCATAATTCAGACTTGAATTCTGTAGGTTGGTGAGTTTTGACTTGTATGAACGTTTAGTAATAAATCAGGCTAATTGTGAAGTACTTGCTTTTTCATTCTGTTTTTGATAACTACTTTATTAAATGATATATTAATGACTGATAAACTGGGCCATTTTGTCACTTGAGTAGCTGCATACGGTGTTGCATTACTACTCGGTAGTGTTTTCGTTTTCCGTTATTATCAGTTCGCTTGGAGCTTGTTTTGGTGTGTTTTTACTACTCTTCGCTAAGTCTTGATTTTTTTTTATTTTTCGTGAACTTAGTTATCCCGCACTTATGATTGACTGACATGTATTCAACCATCTCATTGCAGTAGTGTGAACTTCTCGTGGTTTTGGTGTTTATTGTGTATAGTGTGGGATGAATTTCTCAGTTTAGTTACTTGTGGCTTCATAAAATGATTTATTAAGCTGGCTGGGTAGTTTCATTTGTTATTCCGTTCTGATTTTCCATTTTGGTAATAAATTGTTCCACAGTACCAAAACTTTTGTGTCAAAAATGCTAACATAGCGTTGGCTTGGTTACACTCAATAATAACTGAAAATTAAATGCTAAGATTTGAAAACAAATCACTTCTTACTCTCTCTACTTTTTTACGTAACTATTAATTTAAGAAACTCAGGTTTCCTATCTGTATTTTCAAGAAGTAATTATTCATATTTAAAATAAATTGTTTACACTTCAATGGTAGTGCCTTGGGCTGGAAAAGTATTTTGTGTTTCTTATTGTCGCATGTCATAACGGAACTAGCCATAAATCCGGTCTAGGTGATACGAATTACTAACTTCCCAAATAAGAGACTAGCAAAATCTCTATTTTCACTTTATCCTAAATTGTTTTAATATGATGCCTGTTTTTGAAAAGTAGACAGTGGTATGTGTATATACATACATAGTGTAACTGAGTTCGAGTTATTTCACATCTTTTTGTTGGAAGTTTATTATGAACCTACTTTTTCTGGCTCATTACAAACCGCCTTACCTTAAAAACTTCAAGCAGTTGAATGTTTCCTTGTCGCTTATAGCTCCTCCAAAACCAAAATCACCAGGCCCCCAACCCACTGAGGAAGTGGATAGGTAAGAAGGGTTTCATTATTAGATTTTCATTTATTCCTATTATTTTTCCTTTAATTATTAAGTTGTTAATATTGAGTCATAAGCAATAGGCATAGGTTTTCCTTACGTATTCATGATTTGAGCTGAGGTGAAGTTAATATGCTACCCATACTGTCAGGAAAATTACTTGTAGATCTTCATTAGGTAGATAGGAAAGAATGTGTGTATGGAGTAAATTAAATGTCTAACACACATGTTGGGTATTTTTCATGCTTAGCAAAACTATTTTCTATATCTTGGTGTAAATGATGTTTGTCGATTCATAGCCCCATATTTATCTAGCAATACGTTATAAAATGATTTAAATAGTTGGCTGCCCGCAACGGTGGCTGTCGTAGTACATTCAGTTAATATATTAGTTCACTTAATATTATTTTGAAGATTTTATTGTTTAACTAAATAACCAATGGACTGAGAAGTCAGTGATATTTTGGGTTTTTGGAAATTTAACTTTCTTAATAACATGCACCATTCCTCAGCTCGATATCTGCGCCACTAAAGAAGTCTCGCTTAGTCGTTGACGAGGGGAATATCCCTAAGTCAACTAAGCTCAATGGTACTCCAACCCGCAATACCAATCCAACGGCATCAGATGCGAATTGGTCCAATGCAGCTAGTGCACAAAATCAGAAGCGTTCTCAGCGAGTCCTTCGACATCCTCAGTACACACCCGTAAGATTGAAATGATTTAGCAATTGTTGTAAGCATGTCACTTAAAGTATTTAGGAAATTAGTTCAAAATACTTTAAAACGTTTTTTGTAATACTTAGCTCATCCATACAGGTCTTAAGTATTTTATTTACAGTTTGTTTCTTGTGGTAATGAATTGCTTAGCGTTTTGTATTTCCATTGTTTGTTTCGTAGTTTTTCAGCATAGACAACTTAACAGTTTACTTACAAAGATGTATTTCTGAGGCTTATTAGTCGCTTAGTTTAATTTTATATTCTCACATTACGTATAGTGTAGACAAAGTTTTGTTTTACTTCTGTTAAGATGACTTAATAAAAATATAGATGTCTTTTGAGGAAGTCGCACTCTAAAGATGTAGGGTGTTTGTGTACAACGGTAATCTGCAGCAATAGCCACCTTCCCGTCTTTTTTAGAATTTCAAAATTTTCCTATTTATGTAAACATTTAAACACATATGAAACTGATTTGTAAAATTAGATTTTCAGTATTGTTTGAATTGTATCTGGGTCCAGTCTGACCGTGTAAACTACTTAGGTGTATTTTGGTTTTCATTTGAGTCATTACTGCTACATGTTAGGATACAAGTATGGTATTTTTTATACAATTTCACGTGTTTTAAATCCAATAAGTTTTTTGAAGGTGAATATTTCTGTTTCCATTGTCTAATTCACAACTTACACTGCATGTGCTAATATAAATTCCACCTACTAGACACTAATGAATTAGCTAATTATGAAGGTGTTTCACTACAATTTGTATCAGTAGTTAGAGTTCTCGACTAATCTACTCGTCAGTTAAATATTCGTAGGTAACTTCGAAAATCATGTTACTGCATGTGCGCTTCAGGATTAAATAAGTTGGTATCTTTTAAGATTATTATTTTTAACCAAATGTAGTTTTTTGTGAATTTTGAGTCATTTTTCCTCAGATCGTAGATATAAACTAGTTTTAAAATAGCTTGTTTGCATGCTATTTGACATACAGGACATTAATATTCATGTAGGTATAAAAATTAAGGATCGATAGAGCATATTTCAAATCAGAATAGCTTATAAAATGCAAATTCGTTTTTACTGAGTAATTTCTTGATGGTGTATTTCAGTAAGCATTTATTTCTTATTTTACCTCAGATAAAACGGTCTAGTTGGGAACAACTAATCTAAGACAATCAGTCAATTTTCAGAAATATAATGATAAGCCTAGGGATGACTTCAATCGCTTTCATCTTTTACGTAAATAATGCTAAGTAGGTGTGTAACGGGTCCTTATAAAATATAATCTGAACCTAATTCGATTTTCAGCCACAAAGAACAAATGTTCCACGATCGCAATCGCCCAGTGGCTTGCAGTTTTTCAATATGGCGAACCCACGGCTCATACCCCCAACGTCCGCAGCTTCAAGAACGCCGGCTATGCTGTTACAATCAGGACTAAACCTTAATAATCAAATATCAGGAGTATTACATCCGCCTAACAACCAACAAAGTGTCGGCATGCGCTTCCCCATTGTGGCACCACAATTACAACAACCTCCACAGTCAATGTCACAGCGTATGCCGACAAACCCGACAAATGTGCTGAATTCAAACCAACCGATAGCCGGGGATTTCTAAACCACATTCAGCCACCATGTCATAACGCCCAACCTCAAAATTGGCAAATGAATCAAGGTGGAGCTAGTGGACATCCAATGGGTGGATTGAATTTAGGAATGCGTGTGGGTAATCCAGGAGGACAAAATATGAACACCTGTCGGTAAGTAATTGATCAAATTTGCTTCAAATGTTTAGCTATCACGAGCATTGTCACGCTTAAAACTGTGAAATGGTTTTTAGAGGGTTATACTTGCGGAATTCTTTGCAGTAGTATTCTGCGACTCTACAAAGACAGGTTTAGGGAGCGTATAAGCTTATGTACCAATCTAGGCAGCTTTCTGAACGATTCAAATACTCAATCTTGATGGGTCCATTTCATCTGCATTTTAACAATAGCTTTCGTGTAAAGAGAACGATAAAACTAGATTCCGAACCAGGTGTGTTTATTTGTTGAAGTACGAAACCTTGCACCTATTAGTTTATAAACAGAACCTTAAATAGAATAGCGTGACTGCTCTTTGGTATTTTCTCCATGCAATCCTTTCTTTTGTTAACTTTCACTTATTGTAGCTTCCCTACATATGTTTCATATCCTCTGTGTGCGTGACAATCGCATCACAGTAATCAAACAACTTTCGATACCAATTCTAGTGCCGTGTTTCTCCATTGTAACGGGTGCCAGGATTTTTCCTGTACCATTATCACTCCCCTGACTGCCACGTTTTCGAACTTACCAGTTATTTTATGAGTCAGTCTTGTATTGAGATGCTTGGAATTTCCCGTAAATAATGCTATCACCAGTGGGTATATCGTGCAAATAGCGTACACCCAACTATTTCTGTTTTTCGCTTGAGTCATTGGCCTACGCTAGCGCAAACTCACCCCCACTTATTCACGCATTTCTTCTCTATAGATCATGTGGAACGCCGAATCCTGCTTCAATGCCCTTTTGTCGAAACTGTCGTGCTGGTCTTCGCTAATATTCATTATCTTACTAATATGTGGACAACGGTATAACACTTGCGTAATCTCAATGTTTATTTACACTTTTCTGCCTTTTCATTTTGAATCATTACACACACAAATTAAACAGGTGAGATAAAACGGGGATGAATCATAAAAAAGAGAGTTGTGGGACATTACACACGGAAATGAGGCTCCAGCAGTTTTATGGACTTGGACGTAACGCTGAGTAACATCCATTAAAAATTCAGGTGGTGTAAGTGCTTCAATAGGGAAAACGGTAGTGTATGGAAATCTGGTTTATTATTCATTGACATAATCCAACGGATTGCAAAATATAGGGTGTTTGAGCCGATTTTCGCCGCCACCAGAGGGAAGTACGCAGTGCCTTTCCAGGGCGTGAACGAACCGAAAACGTGGACGGTCTAGGTCCGTATATTATTGTCGCGAAATAGTGTTCTTCATTTGTTGCTAAGTGTCGAGCCATCTGATCATACACTATCGTACGAAAACCGCAGTTACAACGCAAATACCCCCTACAGAACAGACCCGGGGGAGGATGTTTATCTTTGCATCGTTTTACTTGTATGACTGAAGTGCCATATGAGCTATAAGAAGAAAGGTTAGTCACATTTGTTGCATGCTTCATGTTAGGAATTGCGTTGTCGATGTAGGTATGCCAAGATTTCGTTTCGTAAGAATCAACAGCTTGGTGTATTGGCGGAGCGTTATGAACTTTAGCCCAGTGCCAGTTAACTGCGACACTACAAGAAGTTGTGTACGTGCAAGTAGCGCAGTGCAGAGTTAGGCTAAAATGTTTGTGTAGAGGTTGACGAATATGCTCTCCACATTCCATACACTTCAGGCGGACGCGTGGTACATTGACAAGTAATTGGTTGGAATAAGAGAGCGACAGTTGGTTATTGGGTATATGCGTTAACAACTTAGTGTTTGCTGTTTCATTGTTAGGTTTTATTAGTGGGTGTTCCGAGTGATGTAAGTATTCGTGCCACCTAAGATCACTTTGGTGTGTGAAATCTAGACGACAGGACTCACATCGATACGTAGGTTTCTCCCAGTGCTGCTGAACATGCATATAGAATTTTTGTGCGTCAAATGTGTGCAGTCCCGAACCAACGTTATCGCTAACTGGTAGTTCGAAATGCTTGAGGCAATAGGGACAAAAAATATGATTGGTCCAATTGTGATGATCACGAAAGTGTGCAACTAATTCACAATAGTACGACGATCTAAATCCGTAGCATATACTGCAGACATACGGTGAGTCCATATACACATGTCTTTCGTAAAGATGTGCAGCAAATTTGACAATACATGTAAAGTAGTTCTCACATATAGGACACACAAAGCAACCATCCATAAGTGCAAAAGGTTCGAGAAGTTCTACATGACGATGTATCCTGTTGTGAAACCCCACGGTCATCTCGAATGGTGCACACAAACATTCTGTACAGAATTCAAAAGACATCAGAGAACCAAGAGCAAGTTCATTCACCGACAAGTGTGACAGAATATGCTTGAAAAACTGGACATTGTCCAAGTGATTTCCACATACTGGACAGTTCACAAATCCAAATAGTGAAATGAAACCTGTTGCAGGCTGGAGTTCTTTGGAAGCGCAATAATAGTGCCACCAGGGTATCTTAAGTTGCGCGCTGATCGGTAGAATAGTCATCACTGCAAAGGAAAAAAATCAGAACAATATACACATTACAGTGAGAACAGTTTTGATAAGGAATCAGTGATCACTCCAAGAAAAGTACACTAAAATGTGGTATAGAATTATTGTAGGCACCTGTTAAGGCGATGTCCTTCAAACTGCCCTGCTGTTATTATGAGATAAGACAATTGAAGCGGTCTATCGATAATGTAAAGACAAGGCTTGAGTAGAGGGAGTATAGTTTTATATCAGCTTATTTATTTGATGTAACATGGAGGGATGGATTCATAATGAATAAAGTTTTCAGCTTCAAACAACTGTCACTACAGGTGCTGAAGCTGTTGACGCCGATTAAATGTACAGAAATACATTTTCCATATAAAGTTATATTTGTAAAATCTCAGCGAAATTGAAATGATTAATCGAAATTAAACATAACAAAGGTTTATATATAAAGGGACACCTCTTGCTTTTTAAAATTTTTGTCCAATCATGAGTCATGCAGTATATGCATATACACATATATTTTAACAAAAGTAGACAGATTTTGAAAGTCTGAGGTCTAAAAAGTTTTTGATTATAGTTCATACAATTTTTGTTTTGTTTAGGATACCTATTGATTCATATTTAAAAATAAGAGATGTACTTTTATGTAAACATACAATTCTATTTATTTATTATACATATTAATACCCCGACCGAAAGCTGCTACCTTGACGTGGTGGTCGGGCTTGAACACCGCAATGATCTATTCAAGCTATACTGGCTGAGACTTATGTCTCTTGAGGTCTACCATGCCAGGCAGGTTGTTTGGATAGCGGTTAAACAAAAAGCAGCTACCCAATCCAACATCATGTCCAATACAAAATCACAAAATTTCATGCCGGATCGGCCGTGGCCCGGATTAACAACGACCGCGCTTCCTGCTGCCGTGTCACAGGGCAGGAGTGATAAATATGCTACTGAGGCACACCAAACAAAAAGAACAAACAAAAACAGGCCGCGTGTGACCGGCCTCAAGCAGTTGTCCCCTGGGCTCTGCGGTCACGCAACCAACTTCCACGGTGTGGGCAGCCGGGAAGTAACAATCGCCCTCACAATCCGAAATGCACACGAAACCTCTCTATTACTCACTCATCTTTGTCTTCATCTTCATCTCTATCATCTTGCCTTCCTTCCACTGATGCAACTCCTCGACTTGATAGCTCTCCACTTCCTCTCCACTCTGCGTCCACTAAAAACGATGGAAGCCAAAAAACCACCACCGACAGCCTCTTAAAGCCGCGCCACCAATTTCATATAGGAGCTCTTAATGTTAGGACACTTTGCCAAATAGGACAACAAGCATCACTAGCCAAGACCCTGGCATCACGAGCCATTGATGTATGCTGTGTTTCAGAAACACGCATACAAGACCCAAGTGTGGTTATTCACCTAACCCCACCTGGCCAACAGGTTGAATCTGCAAAATTCACCTTGAGGGTGTCAGGAGATGCCACAGCTAGTTCACGAGGATTAGCTGGCGTAGGGATAGCTTTGAGTACTAGGGCAGAAAAGACATTGCTTGACTGGATCCCGGTAGATAGCCGAATGTGTGCTGTCCGCCTGAACGGATCAGTAAGAAGGAGGAAGGACTGCACTACTCGCCGATGCCTTTTCGTAATCTCCGCCTACGCCCCCACTGACTGCAGTTCAGATGAAACGAAGGATGAGTTCTACCAAAAGCTGTCTAGTTTGGTGGAAAGGCTAAACGCTCAGACATAGTCGTTCTAGCTGGTGACTTTAACGCTCAAGTAGGGAAATTGTGTCAATCTGAGAAGGATGTCGGTGGCACCTATGGAGTCCGTGCCAGCGAACCGACAACGGTGACCGTCTCCTACAGTTCTGCTCTGATAATCATTTGTTTCTTGTAAGCACTAACTTCAAACACAAGGAGAGACACTGTTTGACTTGGAGACCCCCTTCATCAAACCAACGCTGGACACAAATAGACCACATAGCAATAAGCTATCGTTGGCGTGGGTCGGTAGGAGATTGTCGCTCCTTCTGGAACACGTGCGTAGATACCGACCATGCACTGGTCCGCGCTCGGGTGTGCTTACGACTGAACGGACGTAGGAAACAGCTGGCGGTAAAACCATCACGTCCCCAGCTCGATCAGGAAACTAAATCCGTATTTGAGGAAGAACTAGCTAAACACATATCTGTGTTCGACAGCTGTGCTCACCCTGAAGAAGCTTGGAAAAATATCCAGGCAGCCATAGATACAGCTGTAAAAGCTGTGAATAAGGTAAACCCAAAGGTGAGTAAAAACCACTGGATCTCCACCGCCTCATCCGAACTGATAGATGCTAGAAGACTTATTCCGGCGAGCTCCGAATTCAATGAGGAGCGAAAGCTGCACAAGAGGAAACTTACGAAAAGTCTCCGCAAGGACCGTGAACAGTGGTGGGCGACAAAAGCCAAAGAGATGGAGAAAGCTTCGAGGATAGGCAACACCAGGCAACTCTTTGGACTCATCAGGGAAACGGGTGGGAGAAGACAAATCATCAGTGAGACAATCTCGGAAAAAAATGGCACTATAATTAGCTCCCAGGATAGACGACTGGATCGTTGGAAAGAGCATTATGAGGAGCAGTTTAATTTGCCCACAGCCACGCTCAACCTTCCGAGCATCCAACACCTCCCTGAATGGGATATAGACACAGGTCCTCCGTCACTAACTGAGGTTACTAAAGCTGTCACCAATCTGAAACTAGGCAAAGCAGCGGGACCTGATGGAATGACTCCAGAGGTATTTAAGTACGGTGGAGACAGCTTACTGTCCGGATTAACTGAGGTACTAGGCAGCGTCTGGGAATCAGAAGAAGTCCCATCGGGTTGGTGTAAGTCACTGATTATCCCCATATACAAGAAGGGAGACAAGTCTTCCTGTGATAATCACAGAGGGATTAGCTTGACTAATATAGTATCTAAAGTCTTAGGCTCAATAATCATGCGTAGACTGAGTGGTGCTCGGGAAGCACAAACACGAGAGAGCCAGGCAGGCTTTAGACCAGGAAGAGGGTGTATTGATCATATCTTCACCCTCCGACAGATTCTAGAACATAGGCATTCCTACCGGCGTCCAACAGTCATTATATTTCTTGACCTAAAGGCAGCATTCGACTCTGTCGATCGGGAAGTTCTCTGGAGATGCTTGGCTGTAAAGGGAATTCCGAGAAAATATATTGCACTGATTAAGGCACTCTACTCGTACTCATACAGCCAGGTGAGGGCTTACGGCGAGCTGTCATCTGAACTGATGACGACCAGTGGTGTCCGTCAAGGATGCCC